TTGCTTGGCATGGTGGCTCACACCTGTAATCCCAGCACTTTGGGTGGATCACTTGAGGTCAGGAGTTTGAGACCAGCCTGACCAGCATGGAGAAACCCCATCTCTACTAAAATCACAAAATTAGCTGGGCGTGGTGGCGAATACCTGTAATCCCAGCTATTCGGGAAGCTAAGGCAGGAGATTCGCTTGAACCTGGGAGGCAGAGACTGTGGTGAGCCGAGACTGCACCATTCCCTCCAGCCTGGGCAACAAGAGCAAACCCTGTCTGAAAAACAAAAACAAAAACAAAAACAAACCCTCTCCCCCAAGAAAAAAACAAAAAAAGAAAGAAGATTCCAATGTTGCAAACCAGAACTTTTTTTTAGAATTACAATGAGACAGGATTCTAAACTGAGCCTTTTCTGGACAAACCAGGATATGTGGTTATCCTCCAATGAAGCATTAGGTAATCTGTGAACATCCACCTCCCTGATACACCTCCTTTCGCATTATTTTTGCTTGCCACATAGGCCTCTTTGGCATTTTTGGAACACACTGAAATACACAGACCTCTCCGGGCCATTGCACTTGCTTTTCTCTCTATCTGGAAAACTTTTCTGAAAATCTGTGAGGTTTGCTCCCTCACATCCTTCAGGTCTTTGCTCAGGTAGTCTCTTCCCAGAGATACCTTCCCTGACTACCACATCTGAAATAACAACTGCCCCCCATTGTATTTGTCCGTTCTGATGGTGCTATAAAGAACTGCCCAAGACTGGGTAATTTATAAAGGAAAGAGGGTTAATTGACTCACAGTTTGCCATGACTGGGGAGGTCTCAGGAAACTTACAATCATAGCAGAAGGGGAAGCAAACAAGTCCTTCTTCACATGATGACAGGAAGGAGAAGTGCCAAGCAAAACGGTGAAAGCCCTTTATGCAACCACCAGATCTCAGGAGAACTCACGCACTATCATGAGAACAGCAGCATGGGGGTAACCACCCCATGATTCAGTCATCTTTCACCCGGTCCTTCCCACCACATGTGGGATTATGTGAACTACATTTCAAGATGAGATCTGGGTGGAGACACAGGTAAACCGTATTACCCATACATTCCGTATCTCTATTACAGTGGGTTAGGTTTCTCCTCAGCACTCATCACGAAATATAATGAAATATGATAATATATGTGTTTATTGTCTACCTACTCCATCAACAATTGAACCTAGCGCAGGTACCAACAGTATGTCTATTGAATAGATATAGATGAAACTATCTATAATACATATAGCCCCTCAACTCTTGCTGCTTACAGGGCTATATCTAGTATATATACCACTATATCCTAATGCTGCGTGGGTAGTTAGGTACTGTACTAGTTTCTTAAGGCTGCTGTAACAAATTACCATAATCTGAGTGGCCTAAAGCAACAAGAGTCTATTATCTCACAGTTCTGGAGCTTACAAGTCCAAAATCAAGGTGAGCAGGGTCATGCTTCCTTCAAAGGCTCAGGAGAAAAAATCCTTTAAGGCCTCTTCTAGCATTTGGTGGTTGCCAGCAATTCCTAACATCCTTTGACTTGTGGCAGTATCACTTCATTCTCTGATACCATCTTTACACGGCTGTCTTTCCTCTGTGTGTCTCTATTTCCAAATTTCCCTCTTCACATAAGGACATCAGTCATTGGGTTACGGTCTGCCCTAATCCAATGTGACCTCATCTTAACTCGGTTACATCTACAAAGACCCTATTTGCAAAAGAGGTCACATTCACAGGTTATAAAAGCTAGGAATGAATATATTTTGGGGGGCACAATTGAACCTAGCGCAGGTACCAACAATATATCTATTGAGCAGATGATAAGAAAATGTGTAAATCTAAATCAGAGTTGAAGAACTTCCTAATATTTGGTATTGTAATTTTGCAGTTGCTTATCAGAGATCAAATTCTTTTGTGTCTGTTAAATTTATAAGATGTCTTTATCAGATTTCCTCCATCTTCACCCTTCCAACAACAAAAATAACTAAGAACCTATAAAGGAACTATGCTTTTCATAAAGTTTTTTCTGATTTGCAAATATGTAATGTTGATATGTGATAGCTTATTTTGGTTTTAAAAGAGATATTTGGATTTATTAAATCCCAAAAGAAAATATATAATTGAAAACACAATGCTAAGATATTTAAAAGTTGGCTATACAAGTGGGCTAAGGCCAGTATTATAGCTATTTCAAAGTAAGTTTTTAGTTTGACTCATGTTTTCAGTTGGCAATAAATATATTTTTGAGCAAAATTACAATAGCTGTGTTGCTTTTTAAATTTGCACCCCCATGTCCTAGCTATCTAATTTTTAAATTCATTACAAAATTCAAGTAGCAAAAAGGAAAAAAAATGCCCTTCTGCAAATAGATATTTTAAAAATATAATCAATTGGATAGTCACAGACATACGATCATAAAGCATTTTTCATGTTACAGAAAATAAGAAACAAAAATATTTTATAATAAGCAAGCAAAAGAAAATAAAGATGGAAAACAAAATATTTTTAAAAAACATATAAACAGATTTTAGAAACAGAAAGCCTTATTCCCCAAGGATAGACCATGCAGACAAAACATAATTAAAGGAAATGAGATCATTCAGTAAAGTATCATCAACACTAGAAGAAATGAGGCTCAGAGAGGAAAAATTATTTGCCTAAAGAAATAAAAGAGACTTTCACTAAGCATATTCACACAAGTCTGGGAAATTAGTATAGCAATATGACATGAATACCATTTATTTGTGACTCCCAACTCAAATTTTTCTTCTGACTGAAAAGAACCAATGCATTTAATGGATTTCTAATTAGGATTTTTCTTTGATAAATAAAACTGCTAAGGATCAGTGGTAAAAATAACGTCCTCTTTTTCTTACATGACAGGAAACAAATCTTCATTATTTTAATCCACCCCCAGATAATATTCAGGTGTCAAAAATTAAAAGACATGAAATGTCTGTACCTTCTAGACTTTGCTTTAATGATATCCGTTGAAATTATCTTTTTTATTTGGTTCAAGTTTTTCTATGCTTTTGTGGGATCAAGCACTTTATTTCAGAAATGAATAAATTAGCTTAAAAAGTTAGAGCTTAGCCAGGCATGGTGGCTCACACTTGTTATCCCAACATTTAGGGAGGCCAAGGCGGTCAGATCACGTGGGTCAGGAGTTTCAGACCAGCATGGCCAACATGGTGAAACCCCATCTCTACTAAAAATACAAAGGTATTAGTCGGCCTTGGTGGTGCGCACCTTTAATCCCAGCTACTCTCGGTTGGCTGAGGCATCAGAATTGCTGAAACCCAGGAGGCGGGAGGTTGCAGTGAGTTGAGATCATATCACTGCACTCCAGCCTGGGTGACAGAGTGAGACTCAGTCTCAAAAAACAAACAAACAAGCAACAACAAACATTTAGAGCTTACAAAAATTATTTTCTTATTCCAATGTTTGATTCTGGCTTTTGCATAAATGAAAGTATGTTTTGAAAATGTTTTGGGAGATACACCTATGTCTAATATATAATTTTACCTATGCACACTGTATACATATGTGTATGTATGTACACAACATTATTATACATAATTATATGTATATTATATATACATTATATGACGTAAGATATATAAATATTGCTTAGCAATATTTGGTAAAAAATAAAGGGCTAATGCAAATTTTTTGACAGGTCTCTGTCTCTTGATGTCCTGAAATGTTCACCTCATTGCCATTAAAATAATCGAATAATCAAATTAAAAAGGCATCCCCTAGTTTGGCAGTAAATAAACAAGAAAGCTTTTCAAAATGTAATTATATAAGTTTGAGAAAGTCATTATATTACTTTAACTAGCTTTAGAATAATTCCTGAGAATATCTTAAGTCCTCTACCCATTTTCCTCATTTGTAAGTCTAACCAACATTCTCTATAAGAGAAGAAATGCTAGGTATTAAGAAACTTGCTTTGAAACTCTGGTCTCCATCATTCATTATAGTAAACCATTATTTATTCTGCACTTCTGGTTTACAGTAAAGTTGTATCAACTTATTCTGTTCATTTACTGTATAATTAGTTGATTTCTTTTATAATATTTTTGCTTTAGGCAGTTTCAAACCTTTTAATTATTATAAAATTAAAATTGTTCTCCAATGGCTGTTCTTTGGTGGACTACATTATTTGACAGAAATTATTTTAATGCTCTAAATTCTAATTTCTTCCCCACTACATTTTAAAAAATTATTCAATTAATTACACTGCATTAAATTTACAGACAAACACATTAAATTTGTAAATGAAAAGTTCAACAGGTAATACGTAATTTTTAAAAACAATTACAAAAGTGTATTAGTAGCATGTAAACACTTCAAAATGTATGTTTTAAGCAAGCCATTTTAAAACGATACATAAAAGAAACAAAAAGGAAGGAAAAAGTTATTGAAGGAAGTCTGTTTAATAAGTTAGCATTCACAAATGGACTATAACCTTAATGTAAGACAGTGAGTTAAAAATTTACCCATAAACACGAACTTAGAGTCTCCTTTTAAGCTATTTCCTTCCAATTTTTGTTCTTTTTCTGAAAATAACTATGACTGTGACTTTGTACTTTTCTTAAGAATTCATACTTCCTGAACGTCTTTAAAAGCTAAATACATTTGATCTCCTAATAAATGAAATAAAGAAAAACGTTTCTGAAATTTTTACTTCTGAAGTTAAAATTGTCATATGGTCCATTTTATTTTTAATATTTTATAGTGAAAATGCAAACCTGTCGTTTGCATCAAACTCCCATACAATTCATTTAAAATATAAAGGAAATAGAAAAGTTATATAATTCTAAATCTCTACTCCAAGTTGCAGAAGCAGACTTCTTGCTAGTCAACCTGACTTCTTGAAAAAGCTAACGGCTGTTACTTGAGTTTTGGTTACTATGATACCTGTGGAATAAATTAGCATGATTTCAAGCATGTCAAAAATGCAGACATTAAATAACTTGCCTAAAGTCAGAAATGAGTCAGAGATCCAGCTCAGGCTCCGTCCAGACACCCTGCTTTCCAGTATCCTCTAACTGCATTCAGAATTTGTAATTATTTCTCCATTATTTGATTAGATATAGGGACAATGTTGATTCTGGCTTCAATCCAGAAACAAACGTGGAGATTGGTTTAACTGAAAGAAAACTAAATGAGGAGATTCAAGGGCAAATCTCAACACTCTGACATTTTTCTTTTTTCCCCATTTGTATGACTTTTTGTGAAAGATCCAATAATATATCTTTATAAAAAGCATATTTTAAAACTTATTATTATATTCATTCAAGAGAGTTTTTGTACTTTTACTTCAATAATGTTTCATTGAAGATTAAGTAAAACCAAAGTTCAGCTGAAACTTTGCTTTGTATTAAGCATTAAGGTAATAACATTTTACCTAGAAATATATGAATTAAAATGTCATCTCAACTAAACTATGGAGATAAGCCAAATTTTTCCTAGTTATTAAAAAAGAGGCAGGTTAATAATTGCCAAGATGAAATGGTCAGTTTATTTGCCCTCTAAGAAAAACAAAAGTAGTTCCTGAGGTGCAAAATTGTGAAATTTAACTGGAAGTGTCAATTATACTCTGGACAAGTTGTTCCTTTTGTTTTAAAATCCTGTAGAAGATTTTCTAATGTGTGATAGGTGCCTGTTAGCTCCATTAATCGTATTGTGTAACAGTTTCATATCGGAAATCCATGTTTATCATTTCTTCTTTCCTTCTGATGTAACTCAAGCAGCTGTTTGCCAGTTGTCCTGTGGTCCCTATTTATTCACTCAGATTCCAGTAAAATACCAGAGTTGTGTTTTCTTTCTGTTCTTTGTTATTTACTTGACTCAAGCACTGACGATGTTTGGCCTTCCCATTAAATATTTTCCTGTCCTTCACTCAGACATTTTAAAGATTATTAAGGGAAAGGTAATCCTGTTGATTTACTGGAAAGAAGAAGAAGAAAAAAAGCCAGTTAGGCTGAACTGATTTTCACACATGCAGAAGAAGTGGAAATTATACATTCATAATTGTAGAGAATTCAAGATGCTAATGTCAAATTTCGAAAGCAAAAATACAGAATTATTTAGCTAATTCGATAATTACCTCTGTGGTAAGCTGATACATTTTGAAATACAAATCTGTCTTTCCTTCTTGTATGCCTTTTGCTTTCTCCCCATTCAAGCAATAATTTAGCCTTGTGTTTATTTCCTCACTGGAGGGACATAATATTAACAGCAGCTAACACGTGGTACACTTATCACGTGCTAAACATGGTAATTATATCAACTTGCTCAGCCACACAAGCTTATGAGTAGATACTGTTAACGATCTCCATTTCACAAATCAGGAAACCAAGAGGTTTTCACTTAAACACAGAGGTTTAAGTGAATTACACGAGGTCACACAGGTAGCAAGAAGTGGAGTTGGACTCAAAGGAAATCCTGCTCAGAATCTCTGCTTTTCTCTACTAAAGGTAGACTATGCTGTCTTTTGGGGACATAGCTGGCATCACTGCCTCAGGAGAAACTCGCAAAAGCTAATCACACAGTAAAAACCGACTCTAGGGCCAATATTTTGTGGAGAAATTCCAAAGGCCAGATTTTCTCAGAGTGACATTATCCTTTAGTCCATGGATGTACTGCCATAACATGATGGAAGAACTATCATCAAGAAAGATCAAAATTATTGTTGGGTGTGGTGGCTCACTCCTTTAATCCCAGAACTTTGGGAGGCTGAGGCAGGTGGATCACCTGAGGTCAGAAGTTCGAGACCAGCCTGGCCAACATGGTGAAACCCCATGTATTTCTAGTCTTCACTAAAAACACAAAAATTATCCAGGCATGGTGGTGGGCATCTGTAGTCCCAGCTACTTGGGGGGCTGAGGCAGAAGAATCACTTGAACCCAGAAGGTAGAGGTTGCAGTGAGCTGAGGTCATGCCACTACACTCCAGCCTGGGCTACAGAGTGAGACTTTGTTTTGAATGAAGGAAGGAAAATAGGAAGGAAGGAAGGGGAGAAAGAGAAACAGAAACCGAAAAAGAGAGACAGAGAGAGAGAGAGAAAGAGAAAGAAAGAAAAAGAAAGAAAGAAGAAAAAGATGTGACTTTGTACAACAGTACCAAAGCTGTAAAATGAGAATGAGACCTGAGATCACTGGCTGAAAGAAATACAAGAAAAGAATGATATATAATAGGACAACAGGTATAGTCCCACTAAGATCAGGCTGATTAGGCTCCCAGACAGATTAAAGGAATACTGTCAATTTTTTTTTCCTTCTCCTTTTGAAAGACCTTATTCAGATAACTCTTCAATTAGTACATCAGTTACAGCACAGTTTTCATCCAAACCCTCTGAAACCTGTATTATGTCTGCTGGATTGAACACCTGTCCACTCTTTGATACTTGACCCAGCCCCTGTGGGAAAGTACAATTCCAGATCTCCCTGCCTCCAGTCCAACTAAGCTTGCAGCGAGGAACGTGTCTGCTTAAGGCTGTGTGAGGGAACTAGACTCAGACAACGGATCTTATATCCTTGACTCTATTCCACCAGCATAAATTTATGATGGTTATATTTTCCAAACTTGACTCCCACTTCAGGAGGCATCCTTTTATGGGACTTATAAAACATGCTCTGACTACAATGATAACATTTTAAACTTCAAATGTGCCTTTTATTAAAATATTTCGAATGGAATGTATTATATGTATCAAGGAAAGAGATTGTTAATAGTCTTCATTCCACACAACTAGCAGAGCCTCCTCAGGTGGAGGTAATCAAATTTCTTCCTAAAATGTTGGTTTGGTAACATTGCAGGCAGAGCCCTGAAAAACTAGAAAATTTACTTGCACATAAAATAGGTGTGAAAAATTTCCATAAAGAAGCATTTTAAAATTAAAACTAAACCAATTTTACTAGTGAGTCATCCTAAATATCCCCATTGTTGATGTAAGGAGTGGAAAGTTTAAATTAATACATGCTCAAGAAACAGTTCCACCTTCATACGCACTTCCTGGGAAAGATTCTGACAACATGAACTACAAAAATAAGGGTAAAGGCGAATAAAGAAAAAGACGAAGAAAAGGAACCAAGAAAAAGTGAGGTGCTTTGTAACGTGTCAACTTGGGTAGGCGGAACTACATTTCCCAGAATTCCTTTTGCCGAATGGTTTCCATTAGGAACCCCTGGCAGAAAGGAAGTGGCAGCCATCTTTGTAGCTCCCCCACGCTGTCACGTTTCTCATTGGCTTTAAGATAGACGCTAGCCAGGCGCGGTGGCTCAAGCCTGTAATCCCAGCACTTTGGGAGGCCGAGGCGGGTGGATCACGAGATCAAGAGATCGAGACCATCCTGGTCAACACGGTGAAACCCCGTCTCTACTAAAAATACAAAAAATTATCTAGGCATGGTGGTGCGTACCTGTAATCCCAGCTACTCAGGAGGCTGAGGCAGGAGAATTGCCTGAACCCAGGAGGCGGAGGTTGCGGTGAGCCGAGATCGCGCCATTGCACTTCAGCCTGGGTAACAAGAGCAAAACTCCGTCTCAAAAAATAAATAAATAAATAAAAATATGCACCTATATTTAAAAAAAAAAAAAAAAAAAGATAGACGCTAAGCCTTCAGCTGTTTCACTTCCCTTTCCATGTAATGTGGAGCCTCCTTTAGCTCATAACAAATGGTCTTGCTTCTGTAGCACACCCACAACCAAGGTCAGAGGTAAAAAGGACTGACATAGGTTTCAGTCCGTGCTCATAGATTCCAGCTCCCGCTCCTATTAAAGTGCATCTACGTTCTACGTTCTCACTTTCCCGCGGTTCATACTTCAAGCTACAACATCATCCGCGGAGACAGCTGCCTTTCAAAGAGTGCTTCACCAGATCCCAAACTTGTATTAGGTCAGAACCCTTGTATATCCAAGAAGCTCTGCTTCTCTCATTGAACTTTGTCACTCTGAGGCTACCGGTCAGGTAAGCTGAATGCCACAGCAGGAATTTTCTCACTGCGCTGTTGTTTCTTCCAGAGCCCTCTGTTCTTTGGCTCACATCTGGACCGCTTTCCCTCTAGGCCTGCTACATGAGGCACGTAGAAAGTAATACCGATAGACACTTGACAGATCCCCCAAAATGTGCAGTTTCAGGTTCCACACAACCCGTGTCCTCCCCTGCATACTAGTTAAGATAAAATGAAATGATTATTCACTACTCATCTTTTCAGAGGTTTCTCACCTATGTGTTTGGATTTTTTTTCCCCTCTAATTATCAAACTAATCTTAAATTGGTTGCCTAGCCGGAAAAGTGCAAAAGATGTTTTCTTATTTTTTTTTCTGCCACAAAGAATGAAAAGTGTTCTTGCTAAAGAATATGTTTGTTTTTCTTTCTGTGTATATGCAAGGACTGTAGACTTGAGTTTATTTTATGCTTCCGAATAACACATCTTTCTTATTAAAGAAGAATCTCCCCAGAAGGTCACGTTATTAAAAAAATAATTTCAACCAAATACACATTGAATTCTAATAGAAAACAGATTTTTTACTGGTAACACATGAAGAAATTTAGCTATATTGTATAAAAATATGTGGGGAGAAAAGAAAACAAGAGTTCTTGCTAAGTAAAACCACATTTTAAAATATGCCTTTAAGAACAGGGAAGACGGAAGGGAATACAAGATACCTGCTTTCATTCTACTACTCAGTTAGGATGCATCTGCCTTTTTTTGATGAATTTGTAACGTATCTTTTCATCCTGATACCTAAATCCAATCTCTATATGTGCCTCTTTTCTCCAGTGTTTAGATTCTTAAAATATCTCTTCATCAAATACCATTCAACTGATTGGAAAAGACGTGATTCCTACCACTATGACAATATCTGAAAGTAGAATCCTCAGGGTTGCAAGCTATTCTGACAACATTTCTGGACTCCAGTAGAAAATGTAAAAATATACATTTGATGAAAATATATTTGCATGTTTGAATTTACATTTTTTCTTTTTTTCTGTTTTTATTTCTTAGAAAAAGGAAGACAATCTAAATATAATTCCCTGAGATATAGTTTCCTGCTTGCG